CTACCATCACATGTGGTGTCATCGTATTCAATTTTTAGGGACAGACTCAGTGGAGATAAGTACGGAAAGCATAATTTATTGGTCATGCTTTAAGTGACGTTGAAGGTGTTGAGTCCTACAAAAGCATTTTGTGGTGATTCTGTATCAGGGTATGTTCGGCTCTATTTGGTGAATTTTAAATCATTTGTGATTTTTGGTTGAACCTGAAGTAATTCTATGGAGTAGTGCTTGAATTCATTTATCCTAATTGGATATTGTTGAAGAGGTGGATAATTTTTTGGTTCATTGGAGAAGGTAGTTTGGTTCTTATTGAAGAGTTCAGTTCATTCCTTGCAATTGAATTATTCTCCAAGTGAAGAAATTTTGGAGCTTTATTTGTTGCAGTGAAATTTGTCTCTCAAGGTGGATATTGTTAGGTTTGTGACCCAAAATTTAACCAGAGTTGCGTGGTTTGGTATATTGAGTTTTGAAAACATCAAAATAGGATCCAATAAGGAAAATAGGATTTGACGACGTCAGCTTCAAGCTCGCCTACTGCTCGAGCAGTAGGGCAGAAATTTCAGCAGAATGCTAACGTTCGTAGGTGCTCGAGTAATGCTCGACCCACACACTTGGCTCTTGTCTAGCGCTCGAGCGCCACAGATGTTCAAAGTTTTCCTAGTTTTGATTAATCCACACATTTTTTTACCTAATTTTCATTTTTAGGACTATTATTAAGATTTAATATGTACCCCTATAAATAGTTGATTCTTTTTTACAAGTTAATCAATTACTACAAGTTTGAATTGTGCAGAAACATAATATTGTTGTAATTTCTTTCTCCATTATTAGGGAATAAAATCTCAAATTCCTCTGCCAAATTAGATCGTTGCTTCTTATGTTCTTGTTATTATGATCAATACTGTATATCGTGTCGTATAATCTTGTTCCACCACCACTAGAACCATGTATAGTATCATGATTTCTTGAATTACTAGTGTCTAAAAAAGCATAATTTGATTCAATTAACATTGGAAAAAAACACCGCCTATCAAGGTTGGATCAGGTAATTACTAGATTTAGGAGCTCTAGATACAAAATTTCTATACAATTACCTTAATAATTAGGTCCCTATTTGATTTAAGTAAAAATCAAATTTTTCGTAAATTTTTGTATGAATTGATGGAATGTTCATTTAAAAATGTGTAGGTCCCATAAACATGATGATTAAAATGAATAATTGAATTTGACTTAAATTTTTAATCAAATTAATTGTTAACAATTCTCTTCGACTTTTGAAGAGGGTGGTGAATTTTGACACCACCAGTTCATCTCTCTGGCTGAGGCATGTTAGAAGGCGGATTTCATTGATCACCTCCGTATATCTAGGAAATAACGTACATAATCAGACTGTTATGGATTGGGTTAACACTGATTCACTAGAAATCGAAAACCTCTTGGTCTCTCTTTAGAATTAGGATACTAATTAATAATTAAATAAATACTTTTTTTGATAAGTAATAAATATATATAAAAAAAAAATCCTATATATGTATGTATGCGTATAGATATCATCACCAGAAAAACTCTCTTAGGTAATCATGATGGACAGTGAAGATAACCATTCCTATCCCATGAACCACCAGCAGGAGGAGGAGGACGAGTCCCGCCACCTCCTTATTCAAAGCTTGATAGATAATGATACTACCCACCACGGCCTCTGGGAGGAGCGACACCAGAACTACCCCGTCCGCCGCTACGAGCAGCATGGCCTCCTCAATCGAAACACGGTGCCATACAATGCTAACAACCCTCACCAGCTCCAGAACATCCACCAGCAAAATCAGGGACTCCTTCAGGTTGACCGGAACATGGTGGTAGATAATATGAACCACCACGTCCAACGCCACCGGGGGCTGCAGCAGAACCTCGTCCACCAGAACACGGCGGTACAGGGTATTAACATTCAGCAGCAGTACCAGAACTTCAACCAGCCATGGTACACGAGGCTAAATAATACAACAACCAGCTCTCAGCAGCAGCAGAATCATGTTCCGATTCAGCAATTCCCTCAGAACCAGCACAATCTATTAATGTCTAATAATGCTGCAGTTGTTCCACCGAATGGCGAAAACATAATTCGGAATCTTCCTGCGGGCTATAGATTCGTACCCTCAGACGAAGAATTGGTAAATAAATACCTAAAGAACAAGGTTGAGAACAAACCCTTACCTTGTAACGGGCTTATTCATGATGTCCAGATCTACGACTCCAATCCTTACGAACTCATCGGTATGTTTCTCTCTGAATATAATGCTTAATTATGTGTAACTTTGGTCTTTGGTAAAGCTTGCTCGGTGTACAATATATGACAATGGCCGATGTAATATTGCCATTATTTTATAAGTAATTGTCCTTATAGATGCATGAGGGGCACCAAAACAAAATATAAAGGAATTAATTTGATGTTTAAGTTTTCTGAGAAACCATAAAGTAATTCCGACATGAATATTTTCGATGTAAGTATATATTGTATATAATACAGTTTCCATATGTGCAGAGCAATATATCAGTTATGAAGGTCAATGGTACTTCTTTACGTCAAGGGGTCGGAAGTATCCCAAAGGGTTGCGGCCGCGGCGCAACGCCGTCGATGGGTACTGGAAGCCCACCGGAATTGAGAAGACCATCCTTCATAATAATCGTCCCGTTGGATACAAACTGGTATTGGATTTTTATGAAGGGAAGCATCTAAAAGGACCTAGAACAGATTTGAAAATGCATGAATATAGAATTCAGCAAAAAAGTGATGCCCCATTCACTGGTACAAAAGAAAATCCCGGAACGGTACGTAAAAGTGTTATGTTCTCGTAATTTAAGATCGTTTACTTGAATTTTAATTTAATTTATTGATTGTTGAAAGTAACTACAGTTGCTAGTTACCTTTCTTTTTAATTATGTTGAAAGATATGTGCAACAAATTTATGTCTTTCTTAAAATAAAAGAATAGAGTCGAGTACTTGAACAATTTTTCTCCATTTAATTCAATATCAATTGCATTGAAAGTATTGATGAATCATGTAGAGGTTCAGTTAATTTAGATTTGATATTCTCATTGAGGAACACGAATTTACTCTGATCCTTCAAAAAAAAGAAGAAACGAACCCCACTCAAAATTGCCAAAAGAGCACAATTTTCCATCAACCAAATTGAAATGATATACTAAACAACGACATGACACGTCTAATTTTAATTTTTGAGACTACTATAAACTTATACATCGATGAACAATGCTGGTTGGTATATCATTTCTCATCGAGCTAATGTTCATACTATATTAAATGAGTTTTTTGAGGGTCGTTTTTATACGTCTAGGTTCACGTAAGGGCAAATCACTATTGATTGATTGTTATCAATTTCATTCAATCTATTATTGCTTTAGAAAGAAAAGATTAGTACTATTTTATTTTCATGCAGTTGGACAAGTGGGTTCTGTGTAAAATATACAGAACAAGAAGAGGTGACAATAGAGTTTACAATCAAGAAGGTGATCAATTAATGATCCATCAAGAAAATCATGAACAACCATTGAACGGTGCTGCTGCTGGTAGCAGTACTATGCGAATCCTGGAAGAATCTGCATTAAATTCTAATAATGATAATCGGGATATGATCAACACTGATGCAGATAAAAATACTATGCCAACATTGGAAGAATCTGCAATAAACTCTAGTAATGACAATCTGATGCAGCGGGATAACGAGAGAATGATCAACACCCATGCAGAAGCAAATACTATGCCCATATTGGAAGAATCTGCATGCAGTGCATGCAGTTCTAGTAATGATAATTTGATGATGTGGGATAAAGCGAAAATGATCAAAATTGATGCAAATACGATGCCAACATTGGAAGATTCCACATTAAATTCTATTAATGATAATCTGACACGGCAGGATAACACGAGAATGATCAACATTGATGCAGATGCAAATACTATGCCAACATTGGAAGAATCGGCATTAAATTCGGAAAATACAAATAACTGTAATGTGATGCAGCAGAATAATGTGAGAGCGATAAACATGTCCCAATTAGACTTTTTGAACATTCAAACCACATCTCGATCAGGCTTTCTGAATATTCCCAGTGGCTGCAAGAAAGAATCGACCTCGTCACAACCAGACTTTTGGAATATTCTCAGTGGCAGTGAGAAAGGATCTATCTCAACAGATACTTCTGGAATGGCTTTTGATCAAGACTATTTTACTAATTTTCTTACTGAACCACCGAAACCTCTTGATGAACATTTTTTCAGTGATGTTGAAGAAGATTTAGAGTAGGAACCAAAAAAGGCAAGCCAGAGAGCCTAATTTTTCGTTTTACATTTTTTATTATTATTATTTTTCTTTTTTCGTTTTTACAGTATACATTTACAGTTCATTTGAATTATTTATTTTTTCTTTAATTTTTATTTCATCCAAAACTTCTGATTTAATTAAATGTATGTCTCCCTCCTGAAAAAACATTTTAATAGGAATATATATTATTCACCTTCTGGTGGCTTGATTTATGAAGAAAAGGTATTCTACTACCTGTACTTCTTCATAGTTTAGTAGATAAAGTGTTGAGAACTCGGAACATACCATTGGGAAGCAGAAATAGTAATTAAACCTTCATGAATCCATTTTTGTTCTTTCATTCCAAGTAAAGCCTCCTTGAGATTTTTTTTATTTTTTATTTTTTTCCAGAATCCAGACCTAACTAAACAAGCTATTTTGAAAGAGGTAAAATTACTAGATAAATTTCATAACAGCCAAAAAGAGAGCAAATTTGTGAAATTTTGAGAAATAATTCCATTAGTATGCCAAGCATACAACACTTATTACGAATTCATATTCAACATAAGTAAACAAAACATAAATTCAACAAGAGATTCACTCTTCACTTCATTCCATGCTATAAATGACTAACAAATAAGTACTTCATCTAAAAACCAGAAATGAGACCAAGACTAGGAGCCAGAACTTCATTGATCAAGGCTGGACTTGACAATGAAATTTTGGCGGCTGATAGGGTTCATGACCACCGGGGGACCAGCAGTACGAGGCCATGCCTGAAACTTCTTGTCAGTCTCTACCCACCATTCTTTACTTGAGATAGTTTTTGGAGTAGTGCCTGAAACGAAATTCAAGGAAATTCATACCATAAAATCATAGCACTGAGTTTAAAGAAGCTAGCAAGTACTTGCCTCCAAAGATCTTCTGGTCAGCAATTAAATTGTCGCATACATATGCAATTGCAATTGTTCCCACGATTGAAGAGAGAATATACTTCACTGCCATTTTGAACTCAAACCACTGCAAAAAATATATTTCATATCAAGAAAAAATTACATCCTCGTTTGTTAAGCTCGAGATCAAGTTCGATTTAAAGCCTACGTCTTCCGACTAAGTTAAACGGAGTAGATTCCAGGAGGAACTATAGCATTCTAATACAGAAAGAGATCAAAACATAATTCACATTTTTTCTCCTTTGTTTTATTTGATTAGTACAATTTCCAATTGAGAAAAAAATATGAAGGCAAGAGTTGTTATTTAATATAGGAGGAAGTATAGCAGGCTAAGTAAGACCTTTGTCACTCCACCACCAACGTCAATAACAACTAACTAGTAATCCTTATTCCTAACTAACTGGATAGACTGCCACTCAACTAAGTGTTTAAACTGTACTCTTGAGTGAGTAAAATGTTATATTTGTGTAAAACATCAGTAAAGCCTAGAATAATTCAAATCCTCCAATTTCAAAAGAAAATGGTATTTTCATTTTTCAGTGGCAAAAAGGAGTGCGGATCATGGACTCAATACTCAGGTATCTTAAAACATAAAGAAATCAATAGAGATACAATGAACAAACCTACTAAAAAATAGAATGAAATGTATTGTCTCAAAGAAACGTGAAGTCATAAAAAGAGAAGAGGAATTAGACCAAGATCTGGTTCCTCAATATGTAAATAACTTCACATTTATACATCTTCATCTACATAAAAATTCTACCCACAAAAGAAAACTTAGGAATGAACATTACAATTTGTCCTCCATTACATAAGTTTCTAAATTGTAAATCCACATACACTGGGACATAAATATAAATAGGCAAGTACAAGAGTACTATAATGAAGGTCTATATCCGATCATTCTATTAACAATTTCAACAGTTTAAAAAATAATTATTCTCTTCTTTAATATTCTATAAAGTCCAGATCCCAGTAGAGTAGTAGCAAAAAATCAGGCGTTGAAATCCCCGAATCGAGAATAATAAATCAAATAAACTACGAAAAATCGGATTGTTACCCTATAGCATGGTGTATAGGCATATAATGGAGAACAACATGAACCCTAAATTCGTGATATGAGAAATATTCAAATGAAACCCTAAGTACGCGATTCAGACTAATAAAACAAGTATACATAAGCACATATATATACAGAAACCTGTAAATTGGAAAGCGAGTTCTTACCTCTATGGATTTCGAGAGACGGAGAGGTAAATAGAATACTATTTCGTGGAGTTTGTGATGGCTTTTAACGAGTTAATTCAATCAATAGTCACTAAGCTTTGTTACAGGTTACGACATGCTCATCGAAATTCAAAAGGTTATTCTTTGCTCACTTAATTTTACTACATGTTACTACTTGCCCGTTGCTCACCTAAATTTGAATAAAGTTACCTATTAATCACATGTATCATTTTCATAATTGTTACCTATAGTAAAGTTTAATGAGCAACGAGTAACTTTGTTCAAATTTAGGTGAACAATGAGTAAATTTTTAAATTTCTGTGAGCAAACGGTAATAGATAGTAAAGTTCAGTAACGGGTAGCTGTTTAAAGATCGATGAGCAAGTAGTAACCACAACAAAGTTCAGTGACCATTGATTAAATTAACTCGCTTTTAACAGATACACACCAAGTCGTTTTGCTTGTATGTTAACTCTTTATTTTCCTTATCGATTTTTTTTTTTCTTTTAAGAAAAATTGAAGTTGCAGTCTTAACCTTTACACATTTTGTCCTTCTCTCTCCAACTTTAATTTCTTGATATTATCAACCCAACATTTACCTTTTGATGTTAGTAGTCCTCAATGACGGTTTTTATCCGAAAAATTCACCCAAGGCTCCGTAATGTGACAAACATGCCTTACATAGAGTCACATGCAAGAGACGAGCCATCCCATTTGACTTCTTCTCATCCCCTATATGAGACAAGCCACAACACAACAGGAAATATCAAGTAACAACATTGCAAGCAAATGAGAAAAGTTCAAGACATTAACAAAATAACATATTGAGCGATGTGAGATTCACCTTGATTTCAATTTCAACCTGAATAAACTTTAAAGGAAAAACAATCTGGTTTTAACAAGAAATTTTTCCAAAATAAAAAAAATGGCCAATTTGTGTGAAAACACAAACAAGAGGTCCGTCATAAGACTAATAAAATGTAAATATATTGAAAAGGAATTTACATCAAATTTCAACAATGAATTCTGTCTAAGCTTTTGAAACCCCACCATGTTCCTTTTCAACATGCTCCACGAGGGCCACGGGATCACGAAATCCTTTACTACATTTGGGGCATACGTCGACGGTTGCCTTCATAACACCATTCCTTTCGTGGACTTTCTCCACGTGATCCACCAGAGCCCCAACTGTTGAGAATCTTAAATTGCACTGTGGACACTGTTCAACTTGCCCACTTGCACTCCCACCACGGCTGCTGCTGCTGCTGCTGCTCTGCCCTTCTCCGTCCCTGCCCAACACCTGGTTGAATTCACTGCTCAAACGTGCCATTCCAGCTTCAGCTGCTTTAAGAAAGCTTGTAGCCCATTTTGATGAAGATGAGACGGCAGTTTGCTTTGGCTCCTCCTTTCTACTTCTATTTAGAAACCCCATAAACTGAAAAGCTGCTTCGGGTTTCTTAGGCCCAGGACAATTGTGCTCCGGTCCGAACCGATGTTTCAGACAATGATCTACATTACAATCCCTACACTTGACTGTGTTCGAAAATGTTAGGAGTTCCCTGCATCTGGGTACTGGACATTTCCTTTTCTTTGTGGCTTTCTCATAGTTTGATGGATCACACTCAATATTTACATGTGATTCCCAAGTGATATTTGGATCTTCATCAGGAATTAAGCGAACTCCTTTGGCACAGAGGGGGCAGATGACAACAGTGACATCATGCTTGTCGGCTTTGGGACATTGGTGACTACCATAGCTCCGGTGCTCTAGACAAAATACCTGTCAGAGTTATCCAGTGCAATTTAGCATTTGTAAGTAAAAATACAATAATCATGTGGAAGGAAAAGGCTAGCTAACAAAGGGAAATGAATATATCAACATGAAAATCGCCTAAGAGGGAAAAACGATTAACTCTTGCTTGGAGAATTACTGTGTGTCAATATATTAGTGGAAGCTAGTAAAATTGACCTAGATACTAATCATGTCATTCACAAATATTACCAATGTCCTTCCATCTTATAGAACAGATATCATTAGCTGCACAGATAAACTACTGGCAGTCGATGTCCTTAATGCATGTATGGTGCGCAGTACTGAACAGTGGTACTGGTACAATGCAATCGACAAGATTTTAACTTCATAATCATCTTTAATAAAGTAGAGAACTGTTATCTACAGAACAAGCAATTAAAGTTCTGTCTGAACAGAAATGAGAAAAAACCAGTATATCACGTGTGCCCAGAAGAAGAGAAGGGCAAAGAATGTCAACTCAATGGAGTAAAGGAAGAGGAAAAGGAAAAAAGATACGCAATATTTGTACATAGCTCATTCTTCTCTTTATGGTTTCTTTCCTTACAGCTCTCTCACCTCTCTAACTTATAAAGAAAATGGTTGTTCTTTTTAATTGGATTCAAGATACATAAACTTATTCTCTCATGAATTATCTTGTTCTTCCACTCACAATAGGATGAACCTTTTGTTTATATAACCGAGTAACTCGAGGCAAAGGCAAAGGGTAATGCACTTCAAAGATCAAAAAAAAAAAAATCTCTAGCTGAGACATATCCGAATAGATGTGATTCTTTCCTTCATAAGTTTCACTAATTTCTGGGGACACAGACATAGAGAAACACCTTTCCCTTCTTGATGGAGAAGAAAAAATTCCTCCAACCTTTTCCAGGCTCACCGTTTGATTTTTAACACGGCTCTAGACATTAAACTTGGCCATGTTAGCATATTCGATTTCATACCTCTTCACATTTTATTTAGTAAACAATAAATAAACTAAGTTCCATCACTGTAAAAATAATTTGCCTGAAAATGTAAGCTTAAATAATCCATCTTAAAAGAAAATTAAACATTGATTATATCGGAGACTAATTAACAATTATTTAAAATCCCCTCATATCCCATTGATTTCATTTCTTCCGTGTAAGATAAAAGTAAAATCTCAGCAACTTCCATCCTAGCAAAAATCCTTAGATATTGTGCTATTAACCGTAAAGTGACAAGATTTCCAGCTTCAATCAACTTTTTTTCCCTGGCACTTGTCATAAAACGTGAAACCCAATCAATTTCACCTTCAATGGAATCCCAATTACTAAAAAATTGATGATACAGACAAACTTTGACCAAAAAAAAAGGACATATTTTGAATCAATATACCTGGTGGCAACAATCGCAGGTGAAGGGCAAGAAATCGATCTGCCGGCAAACTTCGACGCTGCAGTGTTTTCCGAGATTTGGAAATGCCGGAGTCCCCATTAATATTCCCGGGAAAATGATATTTAACCAGAGATCAAATAAAATTATGGGTATTGAATTGGGTAGATAACAATTGACTATTTACGAGGATTTGAAGACGAAAATCAGGGAGAATAGATTCTGTTCTTCCCCATTTCCGCGTTGGAAGAAAATTAAAAGACAGGAAAATGATAACGCGGAATAGGAGATGGAATGAATTAGATCTGTTAAAAGGGGAATGAGTTGGAATAGCCAACCCTCGGCATGCCCGTTGACCAAATTCTTTAAAAAGAACGAAGAATTAATTATTCAGAAATCTCAAATGTCTACTTTACCCTCTCTTATATAACCAAATTAATGAGGAAAAAAAATTTTGAAGGTTCAAGGATTTGAACCCTCAACCTCTGTGAAAATAGGGTTGTGCTAGTGGTACATCACACCCTACATAAGGGTGTCCATAATGGACATCCGGCGCCTCTCCATTGAATGAAGTGCGGAGATGTACCACTAACATTATTGATGAAAATAACATGCACCCCCACACCATTAGGACATTGAATAATGTTGGTAATTATTTTGCAATAACTTATATATATATATATTTTGACAAATTATATTCAAATTTACAAATTTTAAGGATTCGAACCTTCAACCTTTAAGAAAAAGTTTATTGAAATATTTTCCTCACCACTAGGATATTGAACAATATTGCTTATTTTGTTACAATAACATATATATATCTTAAAAATTTATAGTCAAATTTTCAATGTCCAAGCATTTGAACCTTCA